TGTGTGTGTGTGTGTGTGTGTGTGTGTGTGTGTGCGTTAGTGTGTGTGTGTGTGTTCTAGGAGGCCTCCCCCTTTTCTAATCACCAAGCATGGGAGGAAAAGGCAGAATATTTTTGTGGAGGCCAAGTTGTAAAAGTTGTAGAAAAATCTGTAATTTTGTTTTTAAGTAAACTACAATGGGATGTTTGATTAACTGTTCCTTTATTTGCCTTTTAAACCCATGTTGATAGCGTGTTCCTTCCTAAAAACATAAATACTGCTGTCAAACTCTCACCGTCTTCATCATGTTCTTTAGTTTGGACTTAAATATGTCAGGAGGAGAGCACTTTAATTGTAAAAGGTGGACCCAACAGGTTTGAAACAGATATTCATGAAGGCCTTGTGATTTTTTAACTTTATAAAATATTTTACATGTCCTCAAACAAACCTGCAGATACCCAGTTGCACACAATGAATATGCAGCCTCCAGAGCCCTGAGGCCTTGGAACAGATTCCTGCTTTGCCTGTTAATTAACTCAGCCTTGCTACAATCATGCATTTTAACATTTCTGGTGAGAAAATACTTGGCAATTAGATTTTTTGACTGTTAAAGTGTAGGATGTAGGATCTGATAAAAAAAGAGGACACGCGTAATTTCTTATTAATTGGATTATTGGATTAGAGTCCTCTCTCAAAGTTAAACCTGGGCCTCTGCATAAAATAAATGTTGTTATCTGTTTCCACATGCATTGATGCAAGTTTCAGTCCAGAAGGCAGACACCCTCTCTGCATGTTTATAACTTAAAACCCTCCTTTTTGATAAAGCTTATATTAGAGGTGCCTCAGGCAGGCCTTGGACCAGCTCTTGGTTTTGTTGCTATAGAGACTGTTGAAGGCGAATGGAGCTTCTCTTTCCTCCTCTTCCTCATCACCACATCGATGTCTTATTAATAAATGTTACTGACTATGTATTCTTTATTGCTGCAGCTCCAGTATTGCAGCAGCATTGTGATGCCACCTTATCATAGATTATTACTACAACTATATTGCTTAGATATGCCTACTCACATATGCTAACACTGCCATCACAATCTACATTGCTTCATGATGTGAAGATATTATATTTTGTATAAATACTTTAAAGTTTCAGTGTGTAAGATTTAGGTGAAAGGGATTTTTGGCAGAAATTGAATCTAAAATAATCCTAGTTATGTTTTAACAGGCGTGTTTCATTTGAATTGTATGAATGGTTGGTTTCTTTACCATAGAATGGGCTCTTTATATTTAAAAACTTTATATTTACATGGAGGGGGGTCCTTTCTGTGGAAGCCCCCATGTTTTTTGCAGTCGTCCAAACTGGACAAAAAAAAACCTTTTGGGTTTTCATGACAACTGAAGTTCACCACATGTTCTCTGTCATGTTGGGAAGGGGAGGGTGAGATGAAGAGTATTCAGCTGCAAAATGCAACGTCACCTCTAGATGTCACTAAATTCTACACACTGAACCTTTAAATATTGATACACCTCTCCATTTATGGAAATTCTACATATTTCCCTCTCTGCTAAAAAGTTTATTTTGGTAGTTTCCCCGCTCACTCTTGTTGAGGGTTAAGGACAGATGATGTCATAAGTTGTTAAACCAGATGAGACAAACTGTGAATATGTGCTGTACAATATATATGATTGATTGAGAGTGAACTCTAAACACAGTCCTAACCGAACAGGTTATCATCTCACACTAACACCAGCTTGTTGTTGTATCACATGTGTTTGCACTTGTGTGAAGTCAACACTGTGTGTGTTTTTCTGGGTGGAGACTGAGGTCCTCCTAAAAGAAAACCAAACCTAGTCAGACACCAGCAGCAGCAGCAGCTCCACCGTCTGAGGCCGAGGAAACCGAGAGGTCTCCCGGCTCCGCTCCGAGCAGCACAGCTCACAGCACTGCGGATCACTGTGTCACTAACCAGGTGAGTGTAATGAATGTTGTGCGGTTTGTGTGGAAGAGCCTGAACCATGTTGTCTTTAGGGAACCAGCCTCGCTGCAGCACTCTGCCCCGGACACGAGCTGCTGAAACACGGATATAAGTGGAGGGTGTTGCGGTGAAAACCGTTAGTGGTGTTTGTGTGTGTGTGTGGACGTGTCTTTTCTGTCCGGACGTAAAAGAGTCAACAAATAATCTGTCGTGGTTTGACACGAGACGAAAAGCAACACGCAGCTTTTAGAAAACACTTGTTGCTGTAGTTTTCATTCGCACAGGAACTTTTTCACGCTACCTCTTTACGTGAGGTGCGTAAACAGATGCTGTGGGTTAGCTACCTAGCTCCAGAGTTAGGCCTCCATCCAACTAACTGCTGCTTTATGTTTGACCCGTAAGCTAATAACCACACGTTGTGGAGCCGCCACCACACGACCGTCATCACAAATAGTAGTTCCCCGTGTTTCGTAACTTCTAATCAAAACACCCAGATGAAAACCGACTCCAAGAGAAGCAGCGTGTGATCACTCGATGTCCACCAGTGATGTCCGCACAGGTCAAACTGTCACAGAAGTTGTGTGTGTGTAAAAGCTTTGTTGTTCTTCATCACCAGTCGTGTGTCGTCGTGTGTCCCTGCTGCTATGTGTTTTAACCAGTTGTGCAGCTCTGTGACTGGCTGTGAACAGGTCTGCCTTGTTTGGGGATCAGCACCAACACCCAAAGGCAAGCTCCTTTATTTCTTTAACACACTGTGTGTCCAACACAGTCCCAGTACACGTACACAGGAGATTTTCTGTCACATGTAAAACACCTCAGCAGAGAATATACCTGCACAATCATCAGCCCTCTTAAAGATGAGATAAGAGGATCCTTTATCAGTCCTACTGTGGGGAAATGTGCAATATAACAGCAGCAAGATTTCACAATAGGCATCAGTGAGTACTAATAAGTACTAAAGTGTAAAGTAAGGAAATAACAATACAGCACATATTCACAAATCAACATTGGTCTCATAGGGCTTAAAGGCCCAGTGTGTAAGATTTAGGTGAAAGGAACTATTGGCAGAAATTTAATGTAGAATAATTCTCATGTTTTCACTAGTTCGTTTCATCTAAATTGTGTGAATTGTAGTTTTCTTTACCCTAGAAAAGGGCCTTTATATTGAAATACTTTATATTTACATGGAGGGGACCCTCTCTACGGAGGCTAACAAACTAAACACCTTTTGAGTTTTTATGAAAACTGGAGGCTACCACAGGTTTTTTTTCATGTTTGGAAGGAGAGGGTGAGGTGAAGGGAGTTCAGCTGCAACATGCAACTTCAACACTAGATATCACTAAATTCTACACACTGAACCTTTAACAATGTGCAACATCCTCTGCCCTGAAACGTAGAAACCTCAGAGAGCCACATGGGAGGGATCCCTCTCCCAGGACGCACAGAAGTGCAATAGATTGCGTGTTACTGAGAACTTCAGCAAAATAACTGTTTGTAACATGATGGAAAAGTGTGTCAGTGTTTGTAAATAAGAAAATGTCTGATAGAAATGAAGGAAGCAGCAATGGTAGAATATGTGAGTAGGCGTATTGTATATCAATTGCCTTAGCCATTAGTTTTAACCTTCATTCGTTTGCAGGATGCACTAAATGTATTTCCATGAAACTTGGTGGATGGATGGGAAATGGGTAAAGAAAGAATCTGTTTATTTTGCTGCAGATCAGGGTTAAGGGAAATATGTAAGAATTTTATTTATCACTTAAGTTATCATTGCAAGATTGGCTGATGTTGACATTTTCATTATTTTCTCAGGGAATAATGCGTTGATTTTGATTGGTGAAAAATCTGGCATATTTAGGGTACTGATATCTGAGTGTGCGCAATTTGGCGTAGCTAGATTAAATCTGAAGGAGCTGTTGTGTTTTGATGGGTATAAAAATGGATGTGAATCATTCGGCCTTTGCTCTCCACCACCACCATCTAAACAACAAATCCAGGAATATACGTTTTGTAAGAATAGAGTTCCATCCTTCCAGTAAAATTATACAATGGCTTAATACCTTCCTAAGACACTAGGAGACACTTTTTTCCTTTAATTTTTCATCTGTCTGTATTACTCTACAATGTCAAACCACTGACTTGGTCTTGAATGGTGACATCTCCACCAGTTTACTTGTGATGCCCTTTTTACACAAGAGTATCAAGAGGAAAAAGAATGTCTGCAAGCAGATGACTTGTGTATACTGTTTCCCTTTTGACAAACAAGACTGGAAAAGAAAAACAGGCAACATGCAACAGGCACAGGACTTGGCATGGTTTACATCATAACATACATTGTGCAAGGATACCAGGGAGAAAACTATTTTGGGTGAAAGCATCACTGTTGGATGTCATTTTTTGGAACAGAAACCTGCATTATACAACATGTGTGTTCATAATGTGTCTGAGATTCTCTCTGTAATTGTGTCATTTACTCTCTTTAACCAGCGAGATGAGTCAGGCAGGGCAGGCACCTGAAGACATGCCTACATGCCTCAACAAAGAGCCAGTTGCTACAGGTAAGTTTAGTTGCGCAGTTGTTTTCAGGAGGGGAAACTTAAGTTTATTCATGCCAGTGTGCTCACAAGTTTTACATCATGTCATAGAACAGTTTTCAGCCAATAATCAGAGACATGAATCACTGCTTCTGTGTAGTGATTGGCAGTTTTTAAGAACTCAAAAAAGAGGTGTTACAGGAAAAAACATAAAAAAGCTACATGTTGCACTTTATGACATGGTCCGTCTTTTTCATGAACACAGCCACTGTAGTTATATACAGTCAGTCTTACAAACCCTTAAACCCAGAGGCCACCAGGAGGCCCCATTAACCCATTTTTAAAAGCAAAACTGAAATCTTTGAGATTATAATTAACTTTTTCTCTGATTTCATAGTCTAAATATTTGATCAGTTAACCCAAAGTTGCAGCCCAAGTGCCATGGACAATTTTCACTTATCTCAGAATCATATATGTGACGATAACATCTGTATGGTTCTGTATGGTTGTACCTCTGCCCTTAAGAGTTTTATGATCTTGATTTCATCTTTTATTGTGTTATTGTGTTTTTAAATGTGCTGTCTAAATATACTTTGACTTTACAGGAGAAATATGAGCAAGGTGGCGGTGACCTGTTGAATCTTAAACCATTGCTTTTGTTGTTTTGAATCAGACGGAAACACGGATAACCCACAGACACAATCAGGCATGTTTGGCAGGTTGGCGGGGGGCTTGTATGGTGTCACCAGGGGAGCTATAGGAGCAACAGTGGGCGGCGTGACATGGATCGGAGGAAAGAGTCTGAACCTCACCAAGAGCGCCGTCAGCACTGTAGCGGCTGTGCCTGCCATGGGAGTGGGGTTGGTTAAAGGCGGCGTGTGTGCTGTAGCTGGAGGAGTAACTTCTGTCGGCTCTGCAGTGGTCAGCAAAGTTCCCATAGGAGGGAGTAAAAAGAAGGACAAGTCTGACTGACGGGGAGAGGAGTGTGAGCTCACTCAGCCGAGTCGTGTGAGCACGCGCTGTACGGATTCATGAGAAAATAAAGACCAGAACAGGACAAAAAAGTTCAGTGAACATGTTTTGGTGAGGGGGTCTGTGCTTTGTTTTATTTCTTTAGTTTCTGTTATTATGTGGTATGGACCTGCAAAGCAAGAACTTACAAAGACTCTCCGACTGTTAAAGGAAAATACATCAACACAACTGTTTTTACCAGTGCTTGAAACTGCTTGAATGAGTTTCATTTTTTACAAAAAGCCACATTGTAAAAAGGTGTTTTCCCTACAGTCACTTTGGCAGCAGGAGAACAGCTCAGAGTGTGAATGCTACATTTCACTTGCAAGACAATCAATGATCAGTGATGATCTAAAACTAACATGAGGTATTTCCTGGGTGATGGAAATATTTCACTATCAACTATTTAACAGTCTTAAGAAAGATGTGATTTTAAAAGAGTACAGTCCAGTTTCATATCTATACACTCAATCACCTGAATATTTGATAGTGCCTTGTGGTGATTATATTTTCAGCTCAGTGGAAGGCAACTTGTTGTTTTGTTTCAGAATCTAACATGGGGGAGGGGTTGCAGAGGTTTCAGAAAAAAATATATTTGCCCAGTCCGACAACTGTAACACCAGTAATCTGCAGATTACAGGTTGGCCTAACACGTTCGGACCTGGAGCACAGGGCATTTAAAATTCTTTAAATCGCGTCGCTGCACCATCGCTACAAGACTCTTCGCTTTAGATTGTGTGTGAATACACAGATCAATTTAAAGTGTTTAGACACTAATGACTTGAGTCATTACACGAACTGAAGAATTGCAAAGCCTTTATTTCTTTTTAGTTTTTNTGAGTGAACTTGATCTCAGCAAAACATTAATTGATTTACTGTGACTTTACCAGAAGAGTCTAAGTTCATTGAATCATGTTTTACATACTGCTCTTCTTTTGACTGGTTGACAGTGACTGCGACCTGTTGATTTATTTTGCTCTCATAAAGTATGTTAACGTGTCCTTGAAAAAAAATAAAAGCTTGATAATGGTATGAATCTCTTTGATTGCACCAAAGAAGTTAAGTTTTCAGCAACTTCAGGTCACTCTGTTAAATGTTGTTGCAATCTGATGGCTGGTTTTCTTGGCAATACACTCTGAATTTCAAATATTAAGTACATTTTAAGATGACAAACCTGTAAAATACCTTTTTTTTGTAAATGTACCTTTAACTATAAGATGCTATCCAAGCCTTGATGGATGATGCAAAATTAAGCTTTAAAATATTTTGTTTTATCAGAATGTTTGCTGAACAGTTAAATGTATTAAAACATGACAATATTGTAATCAGAACTTGTCTAAATAAAATATGCTGATGGTTGTGTATAAACTGCATTGTGCTCCGTCTGTGACAAAATGAGTCGATATCCTTAAATGTTTGGATTTTGTTAACGCAATAAGTTCTGTCAATATCTGGTGAGTGCTGACCAAGGGGACACAGGTACAATATTGGACAGATTACATGAAGTTTATGTTTTATAACCTATACATTTGTAATGAATTAATGCTGAGATCACATCAGGACAGTAAGGTAAAATAGAATTGCTACTCTCTGCTATTTACAGTAAACATGTATAGAAACATTTATATTTATTTAAGGGGAGTCATTTTTAATCCGGACGTTGCCAGGGGATCATATTTGTTAGAATATCTTTGACAATTAATTAAGAAAAAGTATGTTGTGCACAAAAATAATCAGAAAGTATTGATAGTGTGTCAAAGCCAATATTTTTAATACAAATTTGACTACAAGACTGGCGATTAATTTCATTCTTTCTATGGCAGACTTGGGTTTTTAGTTTTTAGCAAAACTGAACCATGTTAATGCTCCAGATCTAATATTAATTGTTGACCTAGACACTCTTCGTTGATTGGTCATCAACCATGGTCACAGGTCCAACAGAAACCACAACCTTTGGCTCATTCCTTGTCTGGTGTGTTGATTCCGCCTCTCTCTCTGTAAACAGACATACAAACATGATCAGATCCAAGCGCAGATTGCTCCTAAACACTGCACATTATAAATTCATCCCCTACTTTTCCTGAAGCATGACGGCTCACAGGAGCGCCCTCCACCAGCAGTGCATACAGCTGTACTACAGTGAATGTACACCTAAACAAGGATAATAGTGTTAGCAGCGCAAAACCAAAATCTGTTTTTGCAAAAGTTTCTCATCAGCCTGTGCAATCATTACCTGCTCCTGCAGGGGCAATAGTGAGCTGCTGTCCACAAAGGTAAACATTTTGAAAATGAAACGCCTGTAGTGACTTGGGAAGGCCAGACCAGAGGAGGGACCAACTGGAATCAGTGAGGACATGTAGCGATCATCCCTGTAAGGACAACTGGATGGAGAGCAGTAAGGTTAATGACGATGTAACGCAGCTTAACAAAGAAGTGTGAGGTTAGCATCAATTTCCCTGTTCACTGTTTCATGTGACCAGACCTGAAAGGAGTGTAAACTCTCACAAATATCCAACATGTCATCATAAAATCACAGTGTAAATTGATGCTTTATTTACCCATCTATCAGAATGTCCCACTGAGGCAGAGTGTGAGGATTGGGGCTTGTAGTTGTCCAACAGTGGCCAAGAGTCAGGACAAGGTTTGGATCTGTCTTTTCAATGAGTTGAACCTCCACGAATACTGGGTCCCGCAGTACTTTGGTCACAGGGTAGTCTGCCTCCGTATAGAAAGAGCTATAGGCTGCATCAACTATGAGAGCAGAGTTAGTGGTTAGCATGAGCCAATGTAATGAAATGATCTACAAAGACCAGGCTATCCCGCACTTACATTCATTACAGCCCTTTGATAAGCATTCTCCATTAGCCAACCTCAGTTCTACTCTAATAGGTCCCAGAGCAGCCACTGGTAGAGGAGGATCTTGTAATGGTAATACTTCTATAACCAGAGTTTCAACAGAAGTGCCGGTGTACCTACACTGGAAGAGCAATCTGACAAGAAAAATATGGGATGAAGTTGCTTTTTAGACACTTAATTTTAACACTGAATTACTCAAAGATGATCACCTACTCAAAGGAGCTGTCCCTGGTAATGACTCCAAGCAGCGCAGCTTCTACCTCTAATGAGGATGTCATCCTGTTCTCATAGACTATAACACCAGGCTCCTCCTGCAAAAGGTAAAACAAGTAAAGTGAAAATATGCACTGGCCTTATTTAAAGGTGTTTTGTTTTTTTTGTTGGAAATATGTAGGGAATAGATATGGAAATTCAATGTCTTACCATAACAACAGAGCCACACGCAGTGACAGGGAATTGGTAGATGGAAAATGCTGAATTAGAGCCAACACTTGTACAACTTTGCCCATTCCCCATCAGAGAAATTTTGTTGAGGTCAATGTTGGGCAGAGTGGCATCTCTGGCCACTACAACAATGAACTGGGCATCCTTTGTGCACTGGACAGTCACTGGTTGCATAAAAACAGGCATTGATGAGTTAAGTAATTAGATAAAATTGACTGCGTGTAAAAAACTGAATAATGTAGCACATCTTTTTACCAGATTGTTCTTTGAACATAATTATGCTGTACATTTTTACATCCCCACTGCTATTAGAAGTACACTAATCAATCAATACAAGTAAACCATAATTTTCTTCTCAATAAAGAGTACAACAACGTTCTCATAAACTCACCTGCCTTTCCGAAGTAGCACTGTCGGCCATCAAAGCAACAGTTTATTGCTTCACATCCAGCAGCAGAGATATCAGGACCACCACATGGGACTCTCACATTTTGTTCCACTTCGCAACTCTCCTCGAAAGATGTCTCTGGCACCGTAGGGCGCTGTGGTTGCTGTGGTTGTTGATATTTCTGTGGTCGTGGGACATTTGGTTCCTGGGGAGATTGATCATGGAATACTGAAGAAAACTGTTTGCTGGTTGACGCTGTTGAGGAAAAGCTTGGCCATCTACCCGGTTGGACATTTCTCTGTTGATTCTGTTGAGGATAGCTTGGCTTGACACCCGGTTGGACATTTGT